TATCAATGTGAATCGGAGTGTATTTTTATTTTTTTTCACTTTTAAACTTTTGAATGTTTGCCGTCATACATCGTGCGTCGAAAACTAATGTGCAAGAAGTTTCGCAGAAAAGGACAAAAGACAAAAGACGTATTTTGACATTGACGAGGGAATTGTTTGTTCATCCGGCTAAACTTACCGAGATGAACCTCAGGCTGTTCGGGTTTCACTCTCCGTGCTTCACCTGAGCCCCATTTTTGTTCCTTAGGTGAGGCCCGAAGTTAGAAGGAGCAGCTCATTTATAATCACTTGCATCACTGGAGAAAGGAAGTCAAGCTGATCCCAACACATGCATGACGTACATACAGTATGTATACAGTCATGACTCATGGTTCTGAGGTTTAATAGCCACTTTCTCGCTGGATGTTAAGCAGGCCTTACAGAAGGTTGTCTAGCTGACAGTGGGGCCATTGTCCAACTGTCTGCCCACATCTCTGTCCATGACTCTTGCATTATCCCATTGCTCCTCTATATTTCACCTCATCCACAGTATCTCTATCCACTTTGCTGGCCATCTAGCTCTCTTGTTTTGTGGGTAGGTTTCATATGAGTTACAGTCTGCGGGTCCTTATTAATATACTTAAACAGGAGGGCTGAATCTCAACTCAAATCATGGGTGACATTGTAGAGACCCTCATAGACTGAACAAATTACTTTCTCTCCAATATGTGAATTATACTGCCTGAGCCCTGGGAGGAAGACTGGAAATGGACTTGGACTGATCTCAAGTCCATTTAAGACAGGCAGTGGAATGGTGACCATAAAGCCCCTCCTTTTATTAGCTATAAACCTGGTGCAAGGAGATAATCCGCGGCCTTTGGAAAGTGAGAGTTCCATAATCATTCGTGATGTCGGTGAAAAGTTTGACATCATTTGACAGTGCTAAAAATCTAATATTGATCTTCAAGGAGCACGTTTTTTCTGAAAATTGATTTTCTCAAGCGCCGTGATGAAGTTTGACGGCCTCCAGGTGAAGCGGAGCATCTGAGAGTTGACTGACTTGACCCGACCTTGTCTCTCGACACAAGGCCGTGTGAAAGTTTCCACATGAGACTAGCGTAGGGGCGAGGGGGGCCGTCACCGCCCTCGTCAGGAAACGCTGAACACGGCCCTACAAGGAGATGATGAATCCATCACGCCGACGTCCCACAGCGAGCTCGGCCGACACGACCTTGATCGATCGCAGGCGGAAACGACAGATGGCCATAAAGGACGATCGTGTAACTGTACGCTCTTTAGCATAATCATATGCATATAGAGTTTACTTCATACTACGAGGCCACATGGCGCTCGCGCTGCACTGGTGGGCTTGTGACAAGAGGTGCCATGATGTTATTGTCTTGTAAGTGGGGCACTTTCAAATATTAAATGAAATGGGAAGATAGAACGTGAAAGAACTTCCTGGATGTGATTCCGTTACTTGAACATACATGTATTGTGTCCAGCTGAACACAGACAGTGACTTTCAAGAAAAACACGAAAACATGGCTACCTTTCCCACTAACGTATTTCTAAAACAAGTGGTTACAGTGATAAAGCCATGTTTTCTATATACAGATAAAATATAACGTTAACGTTGGATAATCTAATTTACGACGGTCCATGATCAAATCATGTGTGGCAAACACTTCTGTCAAGAAACGTGATCAAATCTAAGCTTAAAATAATAATGTTTACTCTAAATCACTTTATTCAACGTGTCGTATTTTAAACAAAGCATTTGCAGTAACCAGATCCTGTAAAAAACATTAATTGATGCGCTCCTCTGTGCAACTCAGATCAAGGAATGACTCGGCTGAGACCGACCGTCCACTGACAAAAAGTCAGTGAATCTCCGATTGGACTGCAGGCCATTCACACAGAGCCGAGAGGAGACCAGAGAAGTTGTAGAATGTAAGTTCAATATATAAAGCATGATTTCAATTTGTTTCCAATTTTTGAAAAATATATTACTTTATTTTTTCATTATTTATAGCTATGACTGGGCTATACTGCACAAAAGACATTGTTGCCCCACCACCACCCTTCCAGCCATGAGTGTGCTGTTTCCATCGAGGTGCAGCACTTATATACCTCTATAGGAGCAGAAGACGGCCTGAAACTGCTCGGGGTTAATGGAATAGCCACAGGTTTGATCCCTTCACCTGCCATACGAGCAGTCAAAGCACAAACATGAACCTGCCGGCTCATTCCAACTCCCACAAGGCCGTGCCATAATTGGACCAGTGGCGTCGGACACATTGCATACACTGTCATGACATAGCGGATAAAAGGACAAAGACTGGTCCATTTTTTTCTATTAAGTTGTAAAACTAGCTACACTTAGAATAAAGAAAGACAATTCAAACATAGTTCAAACATAGTTCAAACATTAAAAAGTCCACATTAGTGCTTGTTGTAATTCTGCCTGTCCGTAGTGTTGTTCTTAATACTTTAAGTCTATCAACACCCATCAACTATCATCTCAGAGTGTACAGCCTCTGTGCGGCTGCACTGAGGCACAGCGGTGCTTTGTTTCTTTCCTCTCCGCTCTCAACCCAGTGATCCGTCTAACGTCGCACCCTTCCTCACGTCTTCCCTTCTCCTTTCCCTTTCTTCTTCAGCATCCTCCTCCCCACCCCCACCGACGAATCCTGCTTTCTTTCATTCCCTCCCCAGTAGCGTCGGCTGTTCCCCTCCACATTGTATTTTCAGATCACATCTCGGCACTGGCTTTATACACTAAGTCACTCTGCACCTCATCACTCAAAGGAAAGTCAAGGAGAGGGCAGAGAGAGATGGTGCAACAGCAGAGGTTTGAGAAAAGAGAGAGAGACAGAGAGAGAGAGAGAGAGAGAGAGAGAGAGAGAGAGAGAGAGAGAGAGAGAGAGGGGAAGAAGCTGAAGAGGAGCGAAAGGAGCAAGAATGTAAAAATGAGGGAGGTTAAAGGTTAAAAATTAAAAGGCATAGAGAAGAGGTCAGGGAGAGGAGGTGAGGGACACGGAGAGAAGCAAAGCAAATGAAAGGCAGATAAAAGAAGGAGTGGAGGGAGAATGGGGTTAGCAAAATGAAAGAAATCTTTATGCAAAAAGATGGGGCTTGAGTGAAAGAGAGAGAGAGAGAGAGAGCGAGATAGGAAGAGCGAGAGAGAGAGAGAGAGAGAGAGCGAGAGAGGAAGAGAGAGAGCGAAAGCGAGAGAGCGAGAGAAGAAGAGAGAGAGAGAGTAGTCCAGAGATTTATGGCAGGTTGTTATGGAGCACCGACTGAATAACAGAAGGTGAGACCAGGTGAATTATTCATGGGGATACAGGGCCATGTGTGTGTGTGTGTGTGTGTGTGTGACATGTGGGTAACACACACACACACACACACGCAATGTCTCTCAAGCACCCTTAGGCCAGCTCATATATGAGGGAAAGGAAAGACAAGCCACCCACAACCTGTGGACAGTCTGAACTATTCCTGGGAGACTGCCGCCCATAGCCCTCAGGCTGAGTAGTCTCACTTAGCTGTGGATACATTTTGACCAAATTAGGTTCAATTATGATAGAATAAATTCATTTTCATCCCTCTTGTATTCACATCCGTCAGTGGTAAGAAATTCCCACCTGCACTTGAAAATCTACGTATTTAGCTCTTTTAGTTCACCATTAGGTAAGTTCTCATGATCATCATTAACATTGTGCAGGAAAGTTGGAGGGATGAATGTTTTCTAAGCCCAGAGAAACATTTAGGCTACTGTATGGCAGGTAGACCCGATAAATGTCTGTGATCAGTGCTGCAGGGATGACGTATTTATGTAGGCCAACCCTGGAAGTTAGCAATACACTGGTTCCCTCAACAAAAAGGCGATGGGATTTTTCCATTGGATTTTGGATTATTGCAGAAAATAAACTCTGTGGCTTATAATTATAGATTTAGTTTAGCGAGATAATCTTCACAAATGAACAACACTTTTATAAGTTTTGAAGAGTGAAAGCAATCGCCACATGAAAAACTTAACAATAGGCTATTAATTAATTACGCCACAGTCATGTGACCTCACGTCACCACCACTAAGCTAAAGGGGGACTAGTGTGCGGCGTGATGAGGTTTTGTAGTCTCATTTAGCCACTTGTTAGCAACCGCCTTTTTTAAGACACGAGAGGGGAATTTACTGATGTATTTTATGTCATAGAACAAAATCTCTTAGGTTTGTGTGAACCACAGAACATATTTCAGGCATCTAACCAAAAACCCATTAAAAAAACGTGACTTGGAGACGAGGGATCAGGAAGTGCAAAAATGCTGACTCATGTCTGGGTTTTATGACTCATACCTGGAGCACTCTTTACTCTCTCTTTTATGAGGATCATGGTGAATATACTGTATTTTCTGTACAAATGATCTCAATGGGCTGTAATTCTGGATTGGGAAAATCGAGGTTTATACTTTCCACTTACAGGTTAAGCAGGGAAACTTGAATAGATGCACAAGCAGCTTGAAGTTTTGGGGACCTGCCATCCTGACAGGGTGGGTGTTCAATATCCGAATATTTCAGTTTAACATGAGGCTAATGTTGGTATTCACCCAAAACATTGTCTTTCTGTGTTTTCCCCATATAGTTCAGCTTCATTTTCAAGCCCCACTGTGAAAATATTTGAAGCCAACCAACAGCATATTTTTCACCTATGTAGACAGAAAAACAAGTAAATGCTTCAGAGCTGGACAGTAACTCTAAACCAGACAAATATGAACACAACCTAAACCGATGACGACTAAAATGCTTTTGGCAAGGACAAGACAATCTGTCCAATCCAACCTCCAAATAGAAACTGTACTTGAAGTGAAGTGAATTGGCCCATTCTGTTTTGTTTTGTTTTCAATTAGAAACCAACACATGCACACACAACCACAAGCCAAAACAACCAGGATCAACATAATTTTCATGACTGACGATGATCACAAAAATACTTGTGGGAGCTACTGCCTCAAACACTCACCGAGTTGATGCAGGCCAGCTCCTTGTTGAGCAGCCAGGGCAGGGAGAGTTTCCCCTCTCCTCTGTAGCACGACTGAATCCTCTCCTTAATCTTCTCCTTTATCCGTCTCATTGTGAACAGACACAAAGCCGACTCCTTGGGCGGCTTGGCTCGGTTCTTCTGACCCTGGGCGAATACGGTAAACAGAACCTCCTCGTGCTCTTGAATACCAAGCGAGCGGGCCAAACGGGTCCCCGGCCGGGCCAAATAAGCATCCTGAACCAAGCGGTACTCCACTCCGTCCTTGGTGCAGCCGATGGGGAACTCCACGTAGGAGTAGAACTTCGGATCGTCGACACATAGGCGCACAATTTTAGAGGTGAAGAACTGTTCGCTGCTCGCGTCCGGCGAGGTGAGCTGGGTGTCGAGCTGTAGGGTAAGATAATACACAAACTGCTCACTGTTGAAGCCGTAGATGTAGTAGATGTCGAACGCCGGGAACTTGGAGAGCGTGTCTGAGGGAATCTTCAGCTGCGAGGAGACAAACTCGTCCTGGTAGACGAAGCTGAACATGTCGGCGTTCTCCTCGTTGGACATCAACTTGCGGCTGGACAGCGTTGGGAAGTACTCCGATTTCCCGTCGATGGGGGTCCCGACAAAAAGCTTCCCACCTCCACCAAAAAGATCCGGGGAGATCACAACACCCGACATGGTGCCTGCCTCGGCGACGCTGGACAGATAATGCTCTTTGCGGTGGTGGGGCTCGCCCAGCTTGAACAAATCATCCAGACGCAGGAACTGGCAAATTCCCTGGGAGGTGCTCCCACAGGCAATCAGGCGGTTGTGGGCAGCATCAAGTAGCAGGAGCTTGTTGACATTAGAGGTCTGCACCAGCTCGTGAGGGCAGGACTGGACACCGGGCGGAGGGTAACAGCGAGGGTTGTCAGTGACTGGGCCAGTGACATGGCTCCGCAGCTTGGTCAGGTTGCTCGACAGCTTGTAGATCCAGTTGACGGCGCCCAGGTAGACCTCGCCCGTTTGGTTGTGAACCACCAAATGTGTGAGGCCTCCCTCCGGTGGGAGGAAGGAGAGGAGGAAGGAGGAGGAGGAGGGAGTGGAGGAGGGAGTGGAGGTGGAGGGCATGGACAGGGAGAGGAGGAGGAAGAGGATGGGGGGGATGAGAAGAGATGGGTTGAGGTGGGAGGACATGGCGGTGAGAGGAAGGTGTGAGCGAGTGGGTGTTGGTGTGTATTTTTGAGTGCGTAATCCTCTGCAGGGTCAGTCGGTGCCTTTTAGGACTGCAGGGTATGATGATACGAAAGAAGAGTTTCCAAGCAATCGGCTTCCTCAGTCTTTTTTTTGTCCTCCTTGCGCCGCTGTTGTTTTTACAACCTCAAGCCCTGATCTTCAGCCTCATCCGCCACCGGCCCTGAGAAAGAGAAACAAGGCAAAGATCTTAGCAAACAACGATGTCAATACATTCACGGGCTTGTGTTTTGCACATCCAGAGGTCTGACAAAAAGGATTAATTTGTTTGTATCGAAATGACAAGATACTAAATATTCGCCCACAGACTCAGACTCCGAGGCCTCGATGCCAAAGTCCAAAAAAACAAATGAAAGCACTATCGGCTTTGTTTTATTGACTTCTCGACTCTTGGCTCACACCACTCTGTGGAGTGCATCTTTTAAAAGTAGACAGGGCCAAACATTGCTCCTCTGCGTATTGATTGTCTGGAGGTATTAAAGGATCCAGCAGACAAAGTGTGCACACGCACACGAGAATACATTTAATACACTTCAAATACACACGAAAACGTAACCTGTGACACAGGGTGTATGCCTTTAAGAAAACATCCAAATGTTCTTTTAAACAGCATGTGCACACAACACGCATAGAAAAGACCAACACGCATAAACAGAATCACACGGGGGGCACTGATGTGCAGGATCGTGATAGCAGGTAAACATCCATATATTATTAGAAGGGCTGCAGGGAGAATTCTACAGTATATTTACAACAGATAAGATAAATACAATAAAGAGAGAGAGAGAGAACTGGTCCAACACGATAAAGAGAAGAGGGAGAGAGAAGCTATTTGGCTTCATACCAGTTCAATATAAAAGGCAGCGGAGATGGTGGCAAAGATTGCTACAAGTGAAAACTACAGGAAGAAAAAGTGAGAAAAAAAAGAAAGGAAGATGGATCTTCCATTCATTTTCCATCTAAACAAATCCTATATCCGCTTTTTCAGGTTCAGAGTCGCTAGGGATGCAGGGGCCTATCCCAGAATGCACTGGGGGACAGGTAGAGCCTTGGGAGTTCTAGGGCAAAAGCAACATGGCTGGCTCCACATGCTCAATCATCAACACCATTGCTGCCATTATTATCATCACCATGTGATCGGCCTCGATGGGTGGTGTTAAAAGTTTTAACTTGGTTGAGAGAAGGACATCCTGGCTAAAAGCAATGGAATTGTTGGAGACACAATTTTTGTCCAAAATGTGTCTCCTCTACAGTCAAAAGAATAGTTGGATTCCTTCTCACGGCCAAAAGTGCTGTCTGCCACTCAGACAGCACACAAATCGCACAAATATCCTACTGTATATGTGTTTTGGACTTATTTACCGTATCTACATTGATTGATCGAGGCTCCCAGTCTGTCTGCGAGCTCACCTTTGACACTACAGGCAGATTCCTCTCAATCGCAACGGGTGGGGAAATAAAATCAATGAATCAACACATCCAAACATCGTTGATTTTCTACCCATGGAAGCCGACATGAAAACTATTTCGGTTCAGTAAATGTCTAGTGAATGCAGGTAAGCAACTGTCCAGCTGAGTGGACAGACGGGTGGAGACGCTTACTGCAGACAGAACGCTTAGGCGACGGTCCCGTCTCACTCCCAGGGGGGACTCACCGTTACTGAAACCCCAGGAAACTCTTGACCCGTCTTCTGACCAGCACATACTGATCACTATGTCTACATTTTCCTTAAAGCTTACCCTAACAGGCACTCAACGCACCAATCGTCCACGGGCAGCACAAAGGGGAAGCTAACCGCAAAGAGAAAAAGCATTCTCTGCGTGTGCACCTGGTAAGTAATCATCATTGGAAAGAACAGGCACCATCTTGAGACAACGGGATCCAGTTCTCGCAATACATCCCTGGGGTGAACCATGAGAGGATGACATTGCATTTACAAATGTCACCTTCCAGGATGTAAATGGTGAAAGTAAATGGTGAAGGGTCTTGTACTTGTATAGCTCTATTTTAGACCTACAACCACTCAAAGCGCTTTAACACTACCTGTCGATCACCCATTCATACACTGATGACAGGGGCTACCATCCAAGGTGCCACCTGCCCATCAGAGCTGTGTCACCATTCATACACCGCAGGCACAGCCTACAGGAGCAATTTGGGGTTAAGTGTCTTGCCCAAGGACACATCGACATGGACTAGAGGAGCCGGGGATCGAACCGCCGATCCTCTGATTGAATCAATAAAATATTAAAAAGGCCACTGTCATCTGCAATTGTTTTAAACCAAACACGCGGCCACACAGTGCCCAACTTTCTTTTCATTAGCTTATTGGCTTATGTTCGGCTAAATAAAGAGCACAAGGCAAAGGCTTGTTTCATAATGGAGTTTGGTCAGCAAACTATTCTCGTCTCTCGTTTCTCATTGCTCCCTTTCATTACATTCCTCTCTCTCTATCTCTCTATCTCTCTCTCTCTCTCTCTCTCTCAGACACTTCACTTCTTGTCAATAGTGTCTTTCATCTCCAGCCCAGCCATGATTACACTGGCCCAGATGACGATGCTGTTGCCTGTCCCATCAGGACAATACAGCTACTGTTGGCATCTTAGACACACGCACACACACACAGACACACACACACACACACACACACACACACGCATACAGTACATCGACATTAAACAGACCTGCCCACACACACGTGCACTACCCATGCGCGCACCAAACAGATCTACACAAGAATGTATGCACTTGAATAGACGAGAGAAGAGGAAATTCAACTCGATGTACTAAATGACATGTTAAGATGGCTATTTTTGCAGAGTTTTTCATCTCACCTTTTCTGATGTATTTCACAGATTCTATAAATAAGTCGAAAACCACTCAGCACACATGGTGGCCATGTAGTTTAGTAGCCAGTGGAGCTGAGCTGTTTGACTAAACCAGGACAAAAAGATGAGAGGAAAAAGACACTGAAAAACAAGTTTCTGATTTAAAAGTTTTGCTTTTATGTCAAAAGAAAGAAAAAAAATGTTTGCGTTTCTGGACAAAGAAATTGGTTGGAAAGATGACGGGGGACACAAGGAAAGAAGATGGGATGGAATACTCTAATGGGGTACAAACTGTCGTCCTGCTTCGGTGCACGCAATCTTAATTCAAATAGTCCGATAATTTATGATATAATTGTGTGGTTATCAAATTGTGTGTGTCTTAACCGAGAAAACCTCACATGTGTGTGTGTGTGTGTGTCAGGGCCATCCTGAAGCCCACCTGCCACATCAGATGAAGCTATAGAGGCGTTCAGGTCCGTCCCGCGCTGATTTATTGCTGTTGGCATATCGATTGCACACACAGCCGCAGACCTTGGCCAGACACTTAGGCAAATTTATACACACCACTTCTTTAGCATGGAGCTCACATCCTTGCCCGAGTCTGTGCCTGTGTGCATGTGTGCGTGCATCCTGCATCTATTCAATCTTATTTACTACTACCATACCACGTCCAAACACACCGAGCCCATCCATAAACTGTATGTATACAAAGCATATGTAACCACAGGGAAAGTATAAATGTTTACATTCATAACCTTTTCCATTTCAAACACATTTCTTCACGATAAACGAGAGAGCAAATACTGGGGACATGAGCTGGAAATGAGCCACTTGGCACCTTCCCCTGCATTTAAGACCCTGTTGATAAAAGCAAGTAGAGCTGGACGGGTTGGTTTCCTACAAATAATCAGCAGCCACGGCTTGAACCTCTGAGGACCTTGGGCTTTGTAACCTTAGACGGTATATGACAAGTGGACTCTAATTTTAACGCCTCAAGAACGGCATTTTGACCGTCGCCATCTTGGTTTCTAAGCTGTTACCATCTTGGTTTCTAAGCTGTCGCCATCTTGGTTTTTAGTCGTCGCCATCTTGGTTTTTAGTCATCGCCATCTTGGTTTTTTGCAACCAGTGGTGACACGAGAGGTTGGAGCTAAGTACAAAAAACTGTGAACTCCCAGACCCAACAACACATCCGACATTGACAGCGACCTGTCAATCACACGGTAGCCACGCCCTAAAGCATAGTTTACTAAATAAACATCAGGCTGTATTGAAGACTAGAAATTGCGACCTTAAAGTCATGTTTACAATGTTTACTGAGGCAATAAATGAAGGAGTAGAGTCATTTTCTCATAGACTTCTATACAATCAGACTTCTTTCTGTGACCAGAGGAGCCGCCCCCTGCTGGCCATTAGAAAGAATGCAGGTGAAAGGTTAACAACTCCATGTTTGAAGCTTTGCACATGGAGAAATCATCGGATTTAAAAATAAATGTGTATTGGCTCTTCTTCAGCCTTGAGCTGGGTTCTCAGGACTGCGTGTGCCTCCAGACTGCTGATCATGTGAGCCCCTATAAGCTCTACACATGATCAGCGGTCTGAGCTGTGTTGACTGCGAGGTGGGGGCACGGAGCACAGTGCAGCAGTAAAGTATAGCCTTATAGCGTATAGATTTACTTCTTGTGTGGAAACGCTGACTTAATTAAGCCATTAGTTTTGTGGTAATTGATTGTTTCATTTATTTCAGCAAAACGCCAGAAAAAAAGCAAATAAATGCAATATTGTTCATATCTAAACAAGTTTATGGCACCACGCTGCTGTTGTTCTATGAGTGGGTCACCTGTTATCTTGTGCACAAGAATGCAGACGCACTGCGACACAATACACAGTCCTGCAAGGTGTTTGACATTATTCTAGTGAGCTACAGGTGGCAGTAACACGCCAAGATGTGCTGCAGTGGACCAACCAAGGCAGAGCAGAGGAAGACTGCTAGCAGGTAAACGCAGACGTAGAGAAAACTGGATTTGAAACGCTTTTTAAAAAACCTGTTTTGCAAATGCTTCGATGCAGTGAAAACAGACTTCTGAAAGTACGCATGCAGAGTTTCATCTGACTTCTCTAACTCCAGGCTCTTGCAACAGATGGTGGCAAAGTTAACGTTACGGAGCAGGTCGAATGAGGACAGCGGAGGAGGAGGATATAAGAACGGGGACCGGAGGCGGACACACACTCGAACGTGAGGAGATTTCTATTTGGAATCCATTTTCCAAAAGGCGTGATATTGACAAGCGCTAATACTGCAGACAGTAGTCGACTCACACCCTCCTCGCCTGG